AAAATATACAACATCTATGAAGAACCCCAAACGTTATATAATTAATAAAAATGTTTATTTTATATATTTAAAAAAAAAACAAAAATTTTTTCTTCTTACCTATCACTATAATCCTCTTCTTTATCAGCTTCATTAGATAAACTTTCAGCATCTGCATTTTTATTTGATGATTTTTTAGTTCCTTTAGGACCAGCTTTAGTTTCATCAGTGGATCCTCTTCTTGATGCAGACTTGTTGGTATTGTTGGCAGAAGAGACACTGCTTTTAGATTTAACTGCTGAAGTTTTCTTTGTTGATTGTGCATTACTACTGGTATTATTTGATTTTTTGGATTTATTAGATGATGCGGTGCTGTTGGATGACGATGGTTTTGTTGCACTACGACTAGAATTGCTAGATTTCTTGGATGATGGCGGTGATGGTTTATTTGATGCGGCTTGACTTTTGACATCTTCTTCTTCCTCCTCTTCTTCTACTATTTCCTCATCTTGATGATAAGGTTGTTTCATAGAATTGGCAAGATAACTATCGTAATCTTCATTAATAATATTATTTGTATTATTCGCCATTGATCTTAATTCCATGAGTTGTTGTTCTATCCTGGTGACAGTGCCACGTTTAGCCAATGGTTTCGAAAGTAAAGATTGATCGATTTCGAAGTTCTCCAATCTTTCTAATTCTTCCAATTCTCTTAACTCTTCTTCTGTCAATTCGAGTACTTCAGCATCTACTAATTCGGGTTTTGGTGAATTTGAAAGTGGTGCGGTTGGATCGGCAATAGCTTTGCTGGCTTCTTTATCTTCATTTTTAGGTTTTGTAATTATTGGATCAGGTGTTGGAGCTCTTTGGATTATTTCGCCATTAACTGTTTCGTGTTCTGTTACCAATTTCCAAATATCATTGATCAAATTTGGATATTTAACATTCCTATTGTTAACGAAATACGGTTCGATCAATTGTTTACCAACGCGTTTAACCACTTCAAATACCAATTTAACGGCCATTTCTCTAGCATCAGCATTATTATTATTTAGATAAGATAATGACAATTCCATCAAATACTCATAACCCATCTTCACCGATTGTTGTTGATGTTTATGATGAAGTTTTAATTTTTCTTTGGTTAACATTGAGACACCAAACTCATCAATTAGTTGCATGACAATTTCAATTTTCGCTTTTGCTTGTTTAGATGGTTGTGATGGAGTTTTTGCCGGTTTCAGGATCAAGTTTTCCATTAATGAATGGTTTGAATTTTGATAAGTTTTAATTAACAGTATCAATAGATCCATTGATACTTGCTTTATTTTTGATGGTGATGCGGTTACGTCGGTTGTTGTATCTGATTCGGTGATCTTGGTAAATAATGATGGGTAAGTTTGTTCTACCATTTTATAAGTTGAAGAAATTGGAATTTGATTGTAGATTGAGTAGTTGATGGTTGATTGCCAAAGTGACAATGTCAAGGTCAATAATTTTTCTTGGTGGTCGTTTAGACCTTCTTGTATAACTTGATAACTTGCTTTGATCAAAGCTAATTTGTCAGCCACCACATCTTCAGCATTGTCATTGCTAGGATCATTATTGTCGTCACTGGAAATAGAATAATCAATTCTTTTTCTTATTTCATTTAATGCCAATTCACGTAATTTAATTTTCTTTGATAACAAACTGGCGATAAGAAAGTCACCGAAAAATTGTATTGACAGAGTAAAAGCCGATCTAGCTAAATTTGATAATTCTTCGGGTTCTTCTTCTATATAATCG